AATTAACAAGAATTCCAGAGGTCAAGAAAACAAATCAAAGTAATAGAAAAAGAAATAACATAAAGCTCGACAAACTACAAAGAAACATGGATAAAATAAATAAAAAAAGCACAAAATCTAATTCAACACAAAATGAGTAGGACACAATGTTGACTCTCTTGTGAAGGCAAATCACACCAAAATACATGAAACTGACCAAACACAAACGCAACAAAACAAGAGTTAAAACACGAGACAGAAGACATGGCATTGGTTAGAATCAAAACTGGAAGTTGAAACCCACAACCTCAAAGAAAAAGAAAAACATCTACAGCTGCAACCAGATTCTTTTGGAAAAACCTCAAGTTCAAGGTAGATTTACCGAYACGGTTGGATATCGTTACTCGAAAGAGACACAATCAAAGTAATAATAGGTGAGTGCATTTATTCGAAAAGAATATCGTTACTTAAAAGGGACAAAATAAAATAATCCTGGAAATAAAAGTCAACAAACATGCAAAAGGCCAAGAAAACAAATAAATCTCTACATGAAAGATCAAAGTAATAAAGGAAGTGAAGAATAAAAAGCCTAGTAAACTATGCATAAAAATCCCATAGATATATTTGAAAAACACAAAATGTAAAATTCAAATTTCAAAGATATTTGTACACTAGATGAAAATAATGCAGSCACAATACATGAAACCAACCAAACAATCAATCCATGAAGGAAATGGAATTAGCAAGAAGGAAAACTTGATATAGAAATGCAAAACCTTCAAGAGCCACACACAAGAAAAACCATCTAACAGTGGAACCAAAGTCTGCCGGAAAAACGTCATGGTCAGACCAGAATCCCTTGGAACCTTTGTAGAGGAAAACCAAGTAAACGGAAAAAGTGGAGGCAAATCAGACCAAAATGCATGAAACCGAATAAAACCTTAATCTACAAAATAAGAGTTAAAAYATCATACGGAAGACATGGAATTAGAAAGAAGCAAAACTTGATAAAAATATATTCAAAACCTAGTATTATYCTGGCGCCTCTTCATAATCCACTTGAAAAATCCAAGAAAAAACCCACAAAACTAGTATGCTTATTTTACTTGCAATATTGTRTTATTTATCATTGGCTATTCCAGCGACACAGTACATTTGGATATAACAAATGAAAAGAAGAAACTTAAATTTAGGATGATGTCATATACCTGGAGTCCTCAGTTACGCCTTGCTTCTTGTGCTTTGAATATACATGATGATTCTTGTGATGACGTTGTGTCAAGAAAGTGAATAGGTATTTGAATATTCATACATGATGATTCTTGTGATGATCATCAGTCTTTTTCAAAAACCCTAACTGGGGTTTCTTGAAATCGACATTAGGATCTGCTTCAGACAATTGTTCGAGTTTCTGGAGATTCTTGATCATCATTCTCTCTTGTTATGCTTGAAACCACTGCGTTGGGGTTTTGCCGGAGTGGAGGGAGCAGCGGAGGGAAAAGGGTTGGGGTTTCGCCGGAGTGGATGGAGCAGCGGAGAGAAAAGGGTTGGGGCGGGGGATTACATCGGAGATTTTGTTTGGGGGGTGGGGTGCCGATGTTATAATATTTATATGTTATATATTAAATAATAAATTAAAATAAAAAATCCTCAAATTCTGAATTTTCTAAAATTGATTAGATTATTTATGATCCAAAAAAATTAACCGGTAAGAGGTTATATTAGGGGTCGGATGCTAAACACTTACCCAGTAAGTGTTTATTGGTAAAATTGAACATTATTATTTACTTATCGGATAAGATTTTACTCCACCAAAACGACATCGTATGCAATAATTTATCCGGTAAGTGTTTACCGTGGTAAGAGTACTCGCTCTCACTTACCGCGTAAGACGCATGGTCCTTGTCTCGCTCTTACCGGGTAAGATTCTTGGTCCTTACCATATTCATCCGGTAAGGTAACGTTACTTGGTAAGCACTTACCTGGGTAAGTGTTTGGTAAACGACCTTAATAAATCAGTTTTCAAGTTAAAATATTCTAAATCAATTAAGCAATAAAGAAAATAAACACAAAATTTATATGCATGTATTTATTCTTTTGGCACAACTTTTACATGTTTTGAGATGACTAACTTGAACTATGTTTTTTGTGTGTTTAATTGGTTAATTGTAATTTGATGTTAATGCCTTGATACATTGAGAGAGTGTTGGGTTCACGTGAGATCAAGGGTTTTTCGTGAGACCTGTAAGACCAATTTATGTTCATTAATCAACTTTATAAGCTAATGATCTAATGGTTTAAAGTTGCACGGAGACAACTTTGTGATTATTGAGAAATCTCGTGGCAATTTTATGATTATGAATGTTCATATTCTAGATCTAATCCAATGGTTGAGAATTGGTCTTACGGGTCTCACGAAAAACCTTTGATCTCACATGATCTCAAGTCTTGAGAGAGATATTATGTATCTTTTTTATTTTGTAAGTGTAAAGATTTACTTATTCATAAAAAGTTCAGAAAATTAATCGCTCAAAATATAAAAGTATATTGGGTTTTTTCTAATTTCCCCATGATTTTACCACAGTGACCGGTTTTACAGATATGGGACGAATTTAACCAGTTTTAAAATATCAGAGATCCATTTGTTGAATAGAGATGAATGTAATCGGGTTTAAAAAGTTTATGATATATAAAGAGGGTGGATATAATGCAAACCAAACTATTTGTATAAACCGTGGAAACTGTTGATTTCATTGTTTATTTTAGCGAAAAAATTTCATAAAATTGTTTAATATGATTAAATTGTTTCAAATAATTCATTTCATGATGAAAACGTTTCATATATTTTTGTTTTTATGTAAAAATTTAATTGTTTCATGTATTTCTCATTTTGATGAAATTTCTTTACTAAAATTAATAGAATTAAGATGATAATGTTCATAGTTATTTGAAATGAATTATTTGAAACAACTTTATCATATCAAAAAATTTCATGAAATTTTTTCACTAAAATAAACAATAAAATCGACAGTTTTCACGGTTT